AAGCGCGTTTATTGGGGGGGGGGTGGGCGTCTCTCATGACGTTTGCAAGTTCTCTGCTTTGGGGACACTCCATCTTACCCCGCTCATTCCTTCCCTTCCTCACGATCAGCCTCAGACGGGTACGCTCGTCGCTCTCACACCCACCCAAGTCACCTTACGAGTCGAACCGCCCAAGCACCCGGGCCAGAGTCTGTTGGTTCATCTGCCTCGCTCCCACTTTGACGTCACTCCAGCTACACAGGCCAAGCTATGATTTGCGCTTGCGCTTCCTCCACTCAAAGAGCCCGCGCAGCGTGTATTTCAAGTCATGCTTGTCGTCCCTCCCTCTGCTCGACTTCGACTCGCATTCACATTGCCGCACCCGCGCACCCGCGCACCCGCGCACCGTTCGACGACCATGCCACAGGTCCGTGTGATACACGCGTGGTGCCCGCCTCACTCTCTCTGCCATCGATCCCGATCCCGATCGCGCGCTCGCACGTCTCAAAGCGGGCTCTTTTCTCTTTTCTCCATTGCTGGCGATGCGGCGGACGCTGCGCTTGCCATTCGTCCCTAACCCCAACTCCCGCCTCCCCCCCCCGATAGAAAAACGTTTGAGCGAGCAAGCAGTCAGTGCAATTTTCGATGTCCCGCCCATGCCACGACGCACGACGATGCAGCATGCGCATGGCGGGGCGAGGGCGAGACAGAGTGCTAGCTAGCTAGCTAGCGCACAAGCAACACGAGCGTCTCGTACATACGTGCAGAGAGGGGGTGAACCTACGCGAAAAGCGTAGCAAGAGAGAGGGAAACCAGTACAAGAAGGTGCGGGCGGGTGGGAGCTGGAATTGCTGGTCCGGTCGGTCCGCATATCGCAAGTGTCGAACGATGAGGAGTTGCAAAAGCCTTGGATCGATGAAGGGGTGCTGCTTCGCCTGCGGCACGTGGGCGGGGGGCATCGGCGCTGGCCACAAAACAAGAGCAGCCAGCAGGAATCTTGTCCGCTTTTCGAGATTCTTGAAAAAGAGACGCTTCGTTTTTCTTGCAATGATTGGGAACGCAAATGGAGGGGGGTGTTTAATTCTTCCCAATAGGCCTTTTTTGCTATGCCCACTTCAAGGCGTTCCCACCTCCGCATTGGCCACGCGCAGACCTCTATGAGCTCCCCAAAGCTGAGCTGCAACTCTCTCCGTCTCCGCATCGTCTTCATGCGCCGCCGCCGCAGCAGGTCTTTCAGTGCCAGCGCCAGCACCAGCACCAGCGCCAGCGCTGCTCAGAGGTCTGTTGTTGCGCTGCTGAGGAGAGGTGGGCGCGCTAGGTGGTAAGCCGGCAAGGATGTGCGAAGTTTGTCTGGCCATGTTGTTATTGTAGGCTTGCAAAGGCGACTGTTCGCGCTGCTGCGAGGCATTTTGAGATCTCGATGCTGATGCATCGGGTGTCCTCGTATTGTTAAAAGAAGGAGCTGCGGACAAGTTTGGCGTTTGGTTGTGAGAGGCGGATGCGGATGCGGATCCGCTCAGTGGCGGTGGTGGTGGTGCGTAAGGAGGTGCTGCATCGTTGCCTGCGCCGCCGGTAGGTCCAGCACCTGCACCCACGTCCAGGAAGGCGTATCTGGATGGAGGATAGACGCCTTCTGCGGTTGAAGAAGCGCCATGCGCCGTGCCTGGAGGAGAAGCGTGCGAGGGTGCAGCAGCAGCAGCAGCAGCACCGCGGTGATCTGCGGATGAAGCACCGTTGTTGGCGTATGCTGCGTATTGCGCGTGCGCGTGCGCACCATCGCTGGTCGCACCACCACCACCACCACCGTGAGCGTGAGCGTGAGCGTGAGCGTGACCTGACTGCGTGTAGGGCCCAGCATTGCTGTATGCTCCATCGTGGTTGTTCCAACCATAAGCGCCATGCGCCGCAGCACCAGCCACACCAGCCATGCCGGGTCCATACGCAGCTTCGCTGGCATGACCGCCAGGCGCCCACTGAGGTTGCTGAGCGTGGTGCGGCGAAGTGTGTGCATCCGCATACTCGTCCTCATCCACATCCACATCCAAATCATCCCTTTGCTGTTGTTGTTGTTGCTGCTGCTGCTGCTGCTGCTCATGCTTCTCATCCTTGCCTCCAAAAGACAAGCCGAACAATCCTGCACCACCACCACCGCTACCAGCGCCGAAAAAGGCATTGAGAGCTTTCGTATCCCTATCCCTTCTGCTCCTCACCACCAGCCATCGCGCCAAGATTGCCACGATGACGATCAGCGCCGTACCGCCCACCACTCCTCCAACGATCGCACCTGTATGCTGAGACGCTCCGCTGGACGAGCTTGCGCCATTTCCATTTCCAGAGTTCGAATTGTTGGAAGGCTCAGCAGCGGGCGTGCTGGTGAGGGTGACGATGACGACTTGACCGTTGGAAGTGCTAGCAGAGGTGAGCGTGACTGGCTGCACCGTCGTCGTCGTAGCTGGCGCTTGAGTGGTAGGTCTCTGCAGCTGCGTCGTCGTCGTCTGTTGTTCCTGCGTCGTTCCTCCTTCGCTGCTCTGGCAAGGCGGCGTGGTGAAGATGGTGGAGATGGGAGAAGTGAGCAGCTGCGTGCTGGTAATCGTCCGAGTCACTTCTGAGAATGGATTCTGACCAGTGATGCCGCCGGGCAGACTAAATGTCGCCGTATCGATGGAGATGGAGGTGATGAGCGACGTCGACGTCGTGTACTCCGTCGAGATTGGCGTGGGCGAGGGACAAGACATGCTGGGCTCGAGGGGAGGGGAGGGCGAGGTGGCGATGAATGATCGGATCAATGTCGATCCACCAGAGTGGCGGTGGTGGGAAGATCAGGGGCGAATGAGGAAGAGCAGCGCGCGCTGTGTCAGACCAATCAATCACAATCGTGAATGTCTTCGTGGAGGGATGTGGTACAAGTAATGTGTGTCATCACGACCTCGGAGCCGCTCGCATGGGGTGTCAGTCATCATCCCCGCTCGACTCGTGACTGATTCACATTCACGATTCCTTCACAACATTCAATTGATTCTTGAATTTGCCGTCATTCGCGATTTCAGCTTTATCTGCCTCATGACAGCAGCCTAGCTCGCTCGGCAAAGCGGGCTGCTGGTGGCTGCCAAGATCCATCCAGCACCGCTGCAGGCACCAGAGCAGTGTAGACAAATCGATGCATCCATTTCGCATGACTGCTGCTGCTACTGCTGCTGCTTTTGCATTCAAGATTGCAGCGAACGGATCGCGTGGTGCACTTGGACAGTCATAATCGTAACGCTCATGCTAAAGGGACTTGCCCTGCTTGTAATCGCCCTCGCTCACAAAAGAATGCTCATTCTCAAAAAAGTCCCGAATGAATTTCCTATTCCCATTCCCATTCCCATTCCCATTGTTTTTCCGAGACCAAGGCTTCTTGAGTCGCAGTCGCCGCCCACACTCACAACAATCGTGCATCGTCGATCTGAATGGGCTTTTGCGCATCTTCACGCCACTACCTGCAATTCACTCTCAACACTTGACTTGCTCGCGCCGATGTCGCGCCTCGAGGTTGGGAGTGTGTGCAGCTGAGCTGCATGTGTATCATGCTCTCTGCACAGCGACGGGAACGGCGCAGCTCCATCATCGAGTGGATGGGCAGCAGCAGCAGAAGCAGGCACAGGCCCTGCCTGATCAAAGGTAGCGCGCGCTTGTTGCGGGTGTTCCGAAGCCGTGCGGTGCGGTCCCTCGCGCACCGATACTTGCATGCACACAGACAGGCGGGCGAAAAACCGTTGACCAAGGTGAACAGGCAGGCAGGCAGGCAGGCTCGTGCATCGATAAGCAAAAGAAACGTGGCGGTGTAGCAGGTTGCATCCACAAGCCCAGCCCCCCCTTGAGAGAGTCTGTCCGACGTTTGAGCAAGTACGGTACGGTACGGTACGGTACGGTACACCTCTCGCTCGCACTCACTCCCGATCGAGTACACTTCACGGTGAAGCAAAAAGGCAAGACGGGGGTGTAGGGTAGGGCCCGAATGGCGGCGGCGAGCCATGGCCAGAGCAGACCATCTGCGTGTAAGTGCGAATGCCAAGTCGATGCACGATTCACACTCGTGACTCGAATGGGCGGGCGATTGACATTCATTGTGCCCAACGTGCCTCCGTGCGCTGTGCTCATCCGCAGGGCACAGTCATGCTTTGACACAGGCAAGAGGGGGGGCAGATCCGTCAGCCAGCTCTTTGCTTCCTCAAATCCGAAGCCACTTCCCAGGGTTCGCCGAGGAGGCGAGCCTTGAATTAGGCTCCACCCTAAACAATCGGCTTGAGCTGCGCATCAATACTGGCATTTCGCATGACTGGGCCCTGCAACATTGGCCTGACATTTGCGCCACCTAGAGCAGCCGTGAGCCCAAGCCTCCGACTGATGCTTGATTGACCGACACCCGTGGCTCTCTACAAGGTCCATCGATCTGTCCATTGCGCTTCGTCTCTCCATACACGGTCCATCTACACAGCGAGACAATGTTGCGTGTATTGCGTACCAAACCAATCTGAACCACCGTCAGTCTTTGCTTCCCACGTGAGTGAGGACGAATCAATTTGCAGCTAGCTCTCACTCCACGAGACACGGCGCGTACGAATTTCGAAAAAGAAGCTATACATTGCTCCTCCGGAAAGGCAGCTTTCGCTACAGAAATACAACCCTACAAAATAGTCCCACAGCTTGCGCCAGAAGCGTGAGCGCTACTGCTCTACTCCCAGACGTCCCAGCACCAGATCCGCACGTCGCATAGCATCCTCTATGCTCTCCCCTTCCCTCTCAGCAGTCTCTGCTGCCCCTCCTTCGTCTCCATCCTTGAGCGCCCTAGTGATCTCGCTAAGCGCGCTGTTCCACCTCAGATTCGCCGTGTCCGTGATATAAGTGCCCGAAGGTCCCTGCACCATCCTCTTGCCATTCATGCGGATAGATGCAGCAGCGGCTGCAGATGTTGCGCTGGCATTGGCGCTGGCGCTCGCGTCGTTCAAATTCGCCGCCGCCGCATCGCTTCGTCGACCGCTCTTGGAGCGCAACAGAGATGGGTCGTCCGGCTCCGCAGTGCCCGCGCCCTCGGCCACCAACCTCTGAGCAGCTTCCAGCTTCATCGCTGCCAACTTGGCCCTTTCCAAGGCGGACATGCGCACCGATCCTCTCACCGAACCGTAAGCTCCAGCGCCCGCACCCGCACCCGCACCTCCGCCCGATCGTTTGCTCCAGCTACCCTTGCCGCCGGCTACGTAGCCTCTGCCGTTCAGACCGCTAGGCAAGGCGCCCACTAGGCTCACGTTGCGCTCCAGCCCTGTTCCAGCAGAGCTCAGCGCCACATCCTCGTCCACATCGACGAACCCATCGTCGGCAGTCGTCGCCTTGACGCTGTTGGGCTGCGGCGGAAGATCCTGTTCCCTCCCAGTCGCACCGTCGCCATGTGACGTTTCGGCAAGAGGATCGGCCAAGATGCCCGCCAAGCCGCGTGGGACCGGTTTCCTCTTTGTCCGTCCAAAGCCTCCCGTGCTAGGAGCCCGAAATGTGCCTGCTTGAGCTATTGCAGTCGAAGGTGCGCCGCTGCCTTGACCAAGCGCAGCGTACGGTCGACCGATCGAACCCCTTCCCGAACTCGCTCGCACCTGAGATGGTCCCATGGTCGACGGCACTGGCCTACGTCGAATAGAGGCGACGTGTACAGAGGGTCTTTCTTGCAAAGGCGGTATGCGGCGGGAGAGCTGCTCGGGTGACGATGTCTCTGCTGGCGGTGAGGTCAAAGCCGAAGAGCGCGATACCAAGCGGATGGAAGGAGCAGATGTATCTGCGGCGTCCAGACTGACCGACGTGTCCGGCGTTGCTGTCGCACTCTCCAAGACCGGTGCAAAGTCGGCAGGGATGAGGGGACTCTTGTCCCCCCGCAGAGGCTCCATCTCGGGCGAGTCGGGTGCTGACACACCCCTCAACTCTGCTGGAGCGGGCGGGGGTGTGGCAGAAACGCTCGACGTTGGTGGCGCGGTTGATGGTGGCGCTGCAGTGTGAGACTCTGGCAAGGGAGGCAGGTCGAAGTTGGACAGCGCTGCGGCGACTTCAGACAGCTGAGCTTTGAGCTGAGCCGCATCCACCTGAGACACTGCCTGGCCGTATGAAGCGGCTCCAATGTGGCCTGTATGCTGCGCCGGTGAGCGTGTATCATGCGCGCGTGTCAGTCGCCCGACGTCATGGCAGCAGCATTCGACGACCAGCAATGTCACTCCCAAAGCCACCGAGCTCGTCACCACCAAAGCCACTGAGCTCGTCACTGCTCACCTGAAAGTTGCTCGGCAATCCAATCTGCCGCTTATCCACCACGCGCTTCCTCGCCGGCACAGGCGATCCGCTGTGTTGCACAGCGGCAGCAACACCCGCGCTCAGTTGCTTTCCCGACTTTGCATTGCTTACAGGCCCGCTGATGCCCACGCCTGCCCCTGCCCCTGCGCCTACGAACCTGTTCCTGCTGCTCTGCTTCTTTGGGCTTCCTGGCGCACTCGGCGCTTCGTCCGTTGCCCATCCAGCATCCGCATCCGCATCCGCATCCGCAACCTCTTCCATCCGCCTACCTGTCCCCGTCTGTAGTCTGCTGCTCATCCGCTCTGCATCCCCTGAGCCGCTGGAGGCGAGTGGCAGCACCACACCAGCCTTTGCCGCTCTCCGATTCAGCAGACCATTCCCTTTGCCCACCGGCTGTCTACTAGGTCCAGCCAAGTTGGGATTCTGCCAAGGCCTGGCAGAAGCTATCATTTGCGGTGTCTCTTCGACATTTGCGCCTGTAACCGCGCCGCCGAATTCGGAGGAAGTGGATGGTCGGGATGAGCCCTGACTGGCTCGAAGGCGGTGGATGGCAGCATTGGCCTTGCGCTGCCCTCGAGGCAGCGAATCGTATGCTGCTGCGCTTCGACACAGCGCTGGCATGGTGCGATGCCAAGGAGATGCGGTGCGAGTGTGCGAGCGGATAGGATAGAGTCACATTCGCA